ATAAGCAAACACCGCCAACACCTTGTGTTGTGCTGCTTTTACAATGATATCTTTCAGTGTGGTCTGTTGGAATACAAACAGGTTTTATGGAACATTTTTTTCTAAACAGTCAACAGGTTTTAATTTAGGTTCTTAAATCATAATTGTTTTTCAATTTTCTGCTCTGCCTCACAAACGCATAATGAGGGCACACCTGATGCTATAAAAACCAGATGTCATTTCAGTATTCCAGGGCTGTGTGATAAACTTGGAGAGCTTAAAAGTTGGTATCACAGATTTATAGTTATCAGGGAGCTCACAAGAGTAGAAAGCATGTAGAGCATTGCTAAATAAACAGGATCTGGGAATGGATTGCACTTTATTTTCAGAGACTTCCAAAATGCTGAAATTATAGATGGAATTTCCTTAAGGAACTTTCAACAGGAGACCATTTCAAACTCCCAAACAATATATTCAAATTCTTTCTCCCTACCAGTCATGTTAAATGAGCCTGTGCAGTGCCACTTGCACTTGATCATGGTGATTTGAAGAGCAGCAAGCAGACCTGGAGGAAAATTAGATTGTGTAATTCATGCCAGCTCTTAGAACCTTTCCTCCTTTACCATTCTCCTTGATACAAACTTAAATAGGATGTTCAGTGGGAACTGAACTGTAACCTGAGGTACAGTTTTACAGTACAGCTTTGTAGTACTTGTTTCTTTAAACAGGTTCAAATTCTGCATACCAGTGTTCAGTGGTCTATTAATGGAAATTATAAATATTTAGAAGAAGAATAATTTCACAGAAATTAATTGTCAAGGCCTAGGTCACCCATCTCTGATTATCACTAGGCAAAGAGTCAAATGCAAAAATCAGCAACATCCATCACATTCATTCCTTATTTTGTGTTAAGATGTCTCTCTTTTCACAACCAAAGTGAGGGTGCAATCCTCTGTCTCCCAAATCCTTTATCCCATTGTAAAGCAAAGCAAGTGGCAAGACATGAGCTGACGTTGTTGATACCCTTGCTTGGTTGTCATGGTATGAAACTGCTGGTATGGACAGCTGAGGGGCTGTTTGTGTTCTGGGTGTTACTGTGGGTCGCTGTTGAATCATGAAGTGATCACATTCTGCCAATGAAATGAATCCTGCCCACTCTCTTTTCTTGAGTGTCTTCTCTTGGGTCTTGTTCACCACAAAGTGAAAATTGCATGTTCCTGCATACACCTGTGTGTGCAGTTGAGTGTATGTGAATGTAGGCATGTATGAAATGCATTCTGCTAGGTTTTAAAAAAGATCTTAGTATAGCAAACTAGCAGTGATGATAGTTTTTATCTAATGAGAAATTGAATAAAAGTTTTGTTGAGGTACATGTGGGAGAATATACAGAGGGTTTGAGAGTAGAGTGTATCTACCCCAGGACATTCATTCCCTCTAGCCACGCATCCTGTTGAACTGTGGAGCTGAAGATAGTGACAACTTGTTGGTAAAGAGGTATCAAGTTTTTTACAGGTTTTGATGACTTTGTTGTTTCTAACAAAAATGTCTTCCTAAGTCAAATGCAAGGATTCCCGTTTGAACTGTAAGGAAAACCACCTTTCCTAGAGATTGATAACCATTTATTTTTCATTTAATATTTTGTCTTCTGCTTCACTAGTCTTTCCAATAGATGGGAAAACTGTACCTTCTCCAGCTGTATGTTAATTACGTTCCACTTTTGAGGCAGAATGGGTACATTGCAGAGGAGCTGTCAACTTGAAACTGAGCAAACTAAATATGCTCAGCTGAGTGAATCCAGCCCTGTGAATGTGAACCACCAGTGTAAATGAGAAAGGAGACACCTTGAAGCTTTACCATATTCAAGAAGTGTCAGATCATGTTCATTTGAAAGGGATGGCAATGCTCTTTCTCCACCAGTGTAGGCATGAGTATTGTTTCACCCCAGACAGGCTATCCAGGCATTCAGCAGACCCTGATGTTTGCACCTTTATGGTTGAATTTCCACATTTTTTGAATAGCATTCAACTTGTTTTGTGTAATCCCAGATATTTCCCTTCATAAAATCTTAAATAGGTGAGATTAAACCAAAATATTTGTCCTTACACTTTTAAAATAATTTCATCTGCTTTGCTGACTGTTTCAAAACCTTGTGGACTGTTTTCAAACAGCTCTTTTACCAGCATTTGTTTCTGTAAGGACAATTGGCATGAACTATTAAGAACTCTTGACTATGGTGAAGATGTGATTCATTGCTGAGGACAAAGTACTCCCAAAGACATGGGACTATCAAGACTAGTGGAAATGGGAGAAATTGGTTCCCATTAGTTCTATTCTGTTGTATCCAACTCAGCAAAGCAACATGAGATCCTTCCAGATCTCCATACTCTAAAGGGAGAGTTGGAAGGACTCTGTCACTGTGCAGGGAATCTGCTTTAATAACATTGACATGACTGAGGAAGTGTGATAAATCCTGCCTTGTGGTATGACTGCTAAAATATCTGTATTTGATCAAAACTTCTGATTGAGAAAATACCTTTTTTTCTATATTCTGTGGTTGAAAAGAATATATTCCATTAACAGTAAATGCTGTGGAAACTCACACCACTTGGCTTCTGAAAAACACATCCCTTTGAACAAAAATATCCCACACTCTGCTTTAAAGATAATATTTATATTTCTGCTGAGGGAGTAATGGGGAGGAATATCACTTGAGCTTGAGAATGTCAGTACAAGTGATATGTGTTGTGTAAGACCCACCTAAGCTTTCCTTGTTTGAAATGTTAAAAAAAAGGCTTCAATGAGTTCTTCTGCATAAGGATAAATTTAGCTCCAAGAGCCATGCAAAACAGACTTGTTGATTGGCGTGGGAGTGACTGCTGTGATTCCCGAGCTATGAAGGTGCTATCATTTCTGCAAAGGATCTGTGCAGGGGAGGAAAACACAGAACTCATTTTGAAAAAGGAATCATGGGTCTGTGGATATGACCAAAACCTCATATAGGGCCCTATTCTGTTATGAATCACAACTTTGCTTTTTTGTTGTAAATTGTTGTTCTTTAATTACATTTTGGCTATAATTTTGTGACTGTTTTGTGTGAAAAGTTCAAAACTGGATTAATAAATCCATGTAACAACTTATTACTATTTAAATACTGCCTCAGCTATTTTCATAGATTTATTAGAACAGTTCATGCTTAAACTTACATCCTTTACTTTTGGTCATGGAAGTGTTCTCCAGGTCATTCTGTAAGTGTGTGAGTCATCCACTTCCATGTGTTGTGAAAATTATAAAATGACCCTTAAAAGGCGTGTGTTTTCCAAGGAAAGAGCAACATTGCACCTGCAGAAATACATCTGCACTTGCTGTACTTAGTGCATTCTGTCTGCTGGTACTGAAAGGGAGGAGATGCTTGGAAGTCTCATCTTTCTACCTTCAGAGTCAACCAGGCTTTTGTACCCTACAGGTTGGGGATCATGAGGTGCCAAATAAGTGGAAGTGGAGACATCCAGTCCCTCCCCGGCCCTCTCTGGGACTGAGTGTGTGTGTTGCTGTCAACATCTAATGATGACCAGCATGGAGGGGACAAACACTGTTGCTCTTGCTCCACAGGCACCTATTTATTATCTGTTCCAGTGAATTCCTGCCGCTGCTGGAAAAGAGATGTAGATATCATCATTTTTGCTTGCTTTGCAGAAGGCGGGCTTTGATTTCATCCTCTCTGCCTCACTGAAGTCTACATAAATCATCTGAAGCTGGCCAAAAACTTCAGAAGAATGTCGTGATCTACAGCTGTTATCTGTGCCTTTCCCATTTTTGTTAGGGATAAAACCTGCATGCATTAGGGTAATGGCAGAGTATACATGTGCTGCATAAACCTGTGTCAGTCGTTCCTAAACAAGGTGCCAGAAATCCCCCTTGGCTGTATGAACAACTAATTGCAAAGTTCTTTTTGACAAAGCAATCAGCCTTGCCCCCCGTGCATGCACGCTGCTGTAATTCGTGGTACAGAGCAGCACATGGAACTCGGTGCAAGTATGTTCTGTATGTGGCTGCTATGGTGATTAAAATACATAAATAAAATAGATAAATACGGACCATATTAAAAATCCATTACTGGCGCTGTCTCAGATCACAGTCTGCTCCAGCGTGCGGTGTCAGTCGTGTTTCCTTGCTCCGAGCGGGCCCTCGTGGAGCGGGAGCTCCTGGGGGGGCTGCACCCGTGCAATGGCCCTGTCCTACCTTGTCAGCTCGCAAATTCAGCACAAAACCGGTAAACAAAGGGCTTTTGTGCATGGTTTACAGTTCAGCGAGGATTAGTGGCCTGACACGGTTTTCAGACGGGACAAGCTTAGCGTTAAGTCTCCCGAGGTTAACGAGGGCGGACGCGGGGCAGGCAGGGGAGGCTGGGGCAGAAAGGTCTCGCTCCGGTTTCGGGCGCGGTACAGAGAGTTTTTGATAAAAGCGGGTTCTGCTTACCTGGGTCGGTGTGTCGGTCACGTGTTCCCAATGTTCCAGCTGCCTTAGGATGTGGATGATCTCAGGCGCTTGCTCGCATTCCTCCCCGCAGCTCCAGAGGTCCCCTGCGCCGGGCTGGACATCCTAGCCTGTTCCTGGGCTCTGGCTGGATCAGATTCCTGCTTTTCCTCCCCCTCTCACCTTTTAGCATTCTCCGACCGTAAAATCCATCCCTGAAATGCAGGACGATGCACTTGTCCAATGAAGTTTTTCTAGGCGAGATTCAAATTCCAAACAAGCCTTTCATTTCCTTCGCGCTGGGGGGAGAGCGAAGGCAGGGAGGCGAAGGAAAGTGCTCGCTTCCTTTAAATCCCCACCAGCGTCTTCCCAGCGCTGGAAGCAAAGTAGCTTGTCATGGTGATCTTCAGAGTTTAACTTTAGAGGGGGAGGGAGAAAGTGGAAAGCAAACTGAATGCTGTAGTGGAGATTTCTCTCTTCCCCCACTGGGCCCCTTGCCGACTGTTTTTATTGATTTCAATCACTGGAGGCTAGCTGGCTCTCAGAAGAAACACTGTGTAATGTGTTCTTTCCTGGCTTTCATTAAAGAAACTCAATGCAGTGCGGTCACGCTGCCGAGCTCGCCTGGCAACCTGCCTACACCCTGTGGTACCTCTTTCATTGGAGGAGATCGAGCTCGTGGTTTGGGGTTGGTTTATTTATTTTTTTTCTAATTCTCCAGCAAGGATTTCAAAACAGCCCCCGCTCTGCTTCTACCTCCTCTCTCGCAGCCCAAAGCCTTTTCAAGCTTCGGAAGAAATTGTCAGCACCCCTAAAGGGGACGACTTTGGTGGCAATGAAAACGCCGAGTGCTGCGACGGTCTCGTGCTCCTTCTATTAAAATTCCTCCGTGTTTCTGGGGAGGGGTTAAAAGGGCTGTGTGTGAGCCACAGGGATGTGGATACAAATGACTTCCAAGGGGTTTCCTTTTCTTTTCTTTTTTTTTTTTTTTTTAATTCCATCTTCTCTTGATTGGTTAACGTGGTTTAATTAAGGGTAAGGGAGTAAGCAAAATCCTCCAACAAATATGTGAAAATTCCTGGCAGCGCTGTAGTTGCAAATGAAGCAAAACTGCATTCCCTGAGCCTGCAGTTGCGGTGGTGTCTGAAATATTTCTGTTGCATTCAGGGCTGTGATAGCGGTGGAGAAAAATGAGAAATACAATATGATACTAATTTATGCCTTAGAACCTAATCTGCTACAGTATTTACTTTATGGGAGCAAACAGTCTATAAAGTGGAATTCAACAAGCTATGTTCTGTAAGTTGTGCATTCTGTGTGCCTGTAAATGCTTTCGTTTAATTTGGTAAATTGTTCAATTTCTTCTTATTCAGCAGTTGCTAATGATAACACTTTATGGGCTCTTCACAGTTTTCTGTAAATCTATGAGACATGCGAAGATCACATAGTTTTAAATTAAGCTGGGTTTCAAGCTAATCAAGGTGCATCTATTCTAAATTACAGCTGCAGATTTAGAGTGCTACCTGATCACTTGTGCTCCTGAGATACTATAGCTGTGTACACAAGGAGGCTTTTTTTTTTTTAAAAAAAAGGCATTTACATGACCACAAAAAGAATCCTTTCCTGGAGCAGAAAGATAAAAAGCCTGTTCTTATTTAAATCTGGTTTCCTGCAGAACTTGTTTGAGGCTTCTCTGCCTGGGTTGAAAATACAGAAACCTTTCCAAATCAACTTAATATAAATTATTCCCAGTGGTTTTGTTGCAAGGAGTTGAGATTCTAAAAACACCTAGCTTTTGTGAAAAATTTGTTATTTTTCTTTGAGCAGCATATAAGTTTTAAAAAATCTTCCTCTGTAAGTGCGACAGACATGATGTAAGGAGGAGTACTTCTACATATTGCTTTTCATTTAAAATTTGCTTTCTGCATGATAATGAAATTTCATGTGGCCTCTCTGGTCATACTTCTTTTCAAAAGGTTCTAGATGATAGAAAATAATTATTTAAATTCAGTATGGCCATGAACTGTTCTATGCAAATTCTCTAGCTGTAGTTGGAGCACAGCCTCGAATAGTAAATCATTTGTCAATCTTTCTTTTATGAACCTTGTGTGTAAGGGTTTGCCAGCCTTTCTTCTCTGTGGGTTTTGAACTGTGTTTATAGATTCTGCTTTTTGTTTTTAAGCCGGCAGATGGCCAGTTATTTATCAGGGTTCATATGTATTGTGTAAGGCAGGAACAGGACGTTTTGCATGCTGATATTGTGCACAGGGCATTTTTGGGGCAGGAGGCTACTCGTAAGCAGAAGCCATTATGTGGTGGGTCGGCAGCTCTTGGTCAGCGAACAAAGCCCCTTTTGACATTTCTCTGTATTAAAAGTTATGAAATAACATGAGCTTCATGAACAAACAAGGTGATACAATGCTTCTACTATGAAATAAACCATATAATCTATTTCCCCTCCATTTTGAACTCTCTGGAGTTCAAAAATTTGACGTCCTTTTTATATGTTTGTCGCTGTTATTTTTCCCTTTGAATTTCTGCTGTTGCTTGCTTTGCTGTTGTACAGACTTGTGGTGCTGTGCTGGGAGGAAAGGATAAAAGTCTGTTGGTTTTGGAGGAGCTGGATTCACTGTTACTAATAAATAGTGAATTTGGTCTTGTGGCTCGGTCTGTGGTTACTGTTATAGGTTTGGCAGCAAAGCCAAACCCCTGATCAGGCAGAAAGTTCAGACCTACACAGGCGAATCATAAAGGCAACATTTAATGGACGAGTATTCGGTTGGTTGTGGCAGTTCTTCAGAGTTTCTGACTACGTCAACTTTATTCTGTGCTGGCAGCAGGCAACCAGGGATGCAAATGTGGGAGGTTTGGACGTGGGGATGGGCGAGGAGGAGGAACAGAATTCTTTAGGAGATGTCTTCGGTTCTACTCGGGTATGAGACAGTCAAGGACTTTCGTGTAACTATAAATCTGGAAACAAATTTAAAAATGCACTTAGTGCTCTGCTGGAAATGCAACACAATTAGTGTGCTGTTAATCCCATCTGGGTGCTGCTTGCTCAGCTACTGTGGTTCATAGTCCCCTGGCAGTACAAGCTTTTATGCAGGTGCAGTCCCTGAAAACCTACACCTATTTGGTTCTGCCACTCTTGCTGAAATAAAAAAGGGTCAGATACCTTCAAGAAAACCTGTACATCTTTCTGCTGGTTTCTCTTGAAGTTCTACTTATTTTTCTCTGCTCTGAATTGCTTAGCAGGGCTGCTCTACACTATTAAATGCTTCCCTTCAGTGTGAGCTGGCTCCCCATTTATGATGGGTAAGCTCATTTATAAAGACCACTTATAAAATGTTTCAAATCTGTGCAGTATTTCCAGATTGCAAAGAATGATGGAAAACTTTAACCGGTATCTAAAACTGCCACAGCTGAAGCCTCCGGATATTTTGAGGCAGATGTCTTAGACTATTTACAGCATATTGCTATATTTACACACAGTTCAGAAATTTGGAAACTGGCATTGATGAAAGGCACTGTATTGGCAGTCACAGCACTTTGCCTGCAGATGGACAGGGTACAGTATAAACTTTGGCAATTTGCTGGAAGATGCCTGAACTCACATCTCCGTACCCCTGCACAGTCGACGTAGGTTTTTATGAGCATAAGTGTGAAAGATTTGGGGGTCTGCCTTTTACTCAAAATATGGCATCCAGTGGCAATATCCCTTTTAGCACCTTTTCAGGCCTTCTGGAAAGCTTCCAAGTGGAAGACTCCCACCTCCTCAATCACGAGAAAACACTGGCTCTCCTCTGAATGTCATTCATTCAAGTGTGCTGACCTGGCCTGACCTTGTTTAGATTGAGATCTAATGAGCCCAGGATCCAAGGTGGTGTGGTAGCTCTCAGCAGGCTTTGCAAATAAGCAAGTGTTGTGTTTTTCTGTGTGCATGTGTTTTAAATTTATCACGTCAATAAACAAGTGTCTCACACACTCAAATAGGGACTTTACAATGTTGTACTTAAGACTAAATTGCAGCACTACAAATTGTGATGTCACTTTATAAATATAGAAGGAGACAACGTGGAATATTTATGACCTCGAAACAATGAAGTCCTGTTGGTTGGGTTTTTAAAATTTAAATAATGACATAACACTAAAACTCTGAATCCAAATGGGTCACAAACTGGGAACACCTTTCAGAAGAACAGTCGCACGAATGGTTTGGAGAAAGAGAAATTAAAAAATAAGGCTACTGATTTAAAGAGGTGCATCAATAAAGTAATAAAATAATAAACACAGCTAGGATTTAAATTCCAGTAAAAGGTTTGGTTTTGTTTTCTTTCGAGTCCCAGGTTCAGGAGAAATATTTTTTATATACAAATTGCGATAAAATTACCCTCAGCCTCAGTAGGTAGAATGCAGGTATTTTCTGAAGCACATAAGGCTTTCAAATTAAAAACCAGTCAAGGACAGATTGTGGCACGTACGATGACTAAATTAACCAAGTTGACACGGATGGATAAAAGTACAGTTGGAACCAGAGAAGTTGTTTGAGCTGTGAGGTTGTGAGGACTTTTCGTGGGGTGCGTGCTGGCAATCGCAGACAGAAGCCTGATGAATCCAGTTTTCCTGGAATGATGCTGTGGGCCAGCAGAAGGTACCTCCAGCTGTAAACCCCGACTCTTTCAGGCTGGGACAGCCACAGCCCTGCAGGAGAACAATGCTCTTGTGTCAGACAGCCCACGGCACGGCAGTCGTGATGCTGGAAACAAACGTTGTTAGGGCTCGGTATTTACGTTGGGACCTACAGGGAGGGAGCAACTTGTTTTGTTTTTAGTGGAGCGGTCGGGGAGAGGGATAAAAAGCTTTTTGATAATGCCAGGAATGTGGGGGGGAAGGGGAGGCACCGAGATATGCATTTACTGTAAGTATGAAGAAGCAGAGGCCTCTTTATCAGAGCAGCTCTAATGATGTGCCACAGTCACTTTATTTGAAAGCTTCATGGCTCACAGAAAAGTAAACAAATTCATTACATTATTTTTAAAAGAAGATTAACTGTAGTGTGTCGTCTGTTGGACAGCTGCTGTAGTAATCTTTTACAAACACTTTATAAATGACCACCCTCAGTGTTTTCCAGGGCTTTGTGTGGCTGGACTGTTATTTTAGTAAAAACCAGGGTGGCTTTTCAAATGAAAACGTTGTTTCCTGTATAACAATTTAATTCTACCTTCACCCTAAATATTATTTTATTCTCAGCATAAACTATAAAATGCCTTCTATACAAATGCAACATGTGTTGCTTTTTTTTTGCATGTGTTTGCAATGAATGCTGGCATTTCAACAAAAGTAGCTAAAAAGTGTTTTGGATGAAAAAAAGCAAATCCTCTTTACTTCCATTTATTCTAATTTTTGCTTTCTTGCCCTTTCTTTGGTCTGTGAAAGCATGAATCTGAAAAGATGAGTCAGAGTAAACTTACATGGTAGGTGAATTGACTCTGAACAAATGTTTAGACCCCAGCAGGTGTCTTTGGCAAATAAAGATGTGTTCAGGTATTGTCTTGTTTAACGTCCTTTGGTTGAATGTCAGTGAGAATAACCTTATTTAGCTCTTTGGGTGGATTTGTGTTTGAAAGCACTCAACTAACACAAATTGATATAATATTAAAGATTTGTGAGTTTATAATGCACTTTTAACCAATCTTGCCATAAAGCAGTTGATCTTGTGCATTCAGGTTTCAGTTATGGGTTCCTCAAATAGGTGAGGAGGGAGCAGAGAGAGGAGGAAGAGCATTTCTTTCTCACTCAGTTGGCCTCCATGGGTATCCCAGGCTCTAGCAGAGAGTACCTCTTTCAGACATATAGGAATTCCTGGAGTCAATCTCATCTTGCTATGGAACAGTGTTTTATTTCTACACAGTGTAGTCTCACACTGGATATGTGATAAACTGGATGTGTCTATTTAATGCTCTTCATCTGTACATGAAATATTTATTTTCATTTGGGATAAGCTGATGCATATATTTATGGCAATATGGTTTCAGATGTGAATAATTAACTGTCTGTCTACAAACCTGAAGAAACGCCCAACCTTTGTGCAATACTTCTCTGTATGTGTTTATTGAAGATAGTGCATATGGTCCCTCAAGATTGCTCAAGTTTCCTCTAGTGGTCTTGGATGAAGATGGTAGTTGTCACATCTCCCTTGGCATAATCGAGATGAAGCCTCTGTATGGCAGACAGGTTTTCTCAGTCCATGGAAGTGAGTGGCTACACAAAAAGTAGAAACTGAGAATCTCAGGGAAACCCTGCTGCTCCCACTGAAATGTGTGTATGCTAAAAAAAAAATCCAAACCCTCCTTCCACCATGAAACAGCCTCTGCTGTTTACATGCCCCCCTCAAGTTTGAGTGTGGGAGAACAAACAGCACAGAAAGTTTTAGATATGATGTTTAATACATAGCTAGAGGTGCTCAGGTACGTGAAGGTGCTCAGAACAGCATCATTATCTACAGAGGGCAGTTCAACAGATCTCTGCAAGTGCAACATTTGCAGATCTGTGAACTGGGCAGAGCAGAGAGGCAGTGGAAGTACAGTGAACAGTAAAAACATGAATCCTGAAGCTTGTTTTTTTGAATATTACCTGTGCCCTTTATTTGAATTTATGCACATTTTGTTCCACTTTCATATGGAAATATAAACACTTTATTTAAATGTCGATTATTTCAGGCAACAAAAGAAGAGGAAGACCTTATTGCAGAGGAAGAGCAAGAACTTACTCCAGAGGAAAAGAGGAAACTGGAAAGAAAATTAAAAAAAGAGCGCAAGAAGAAGGAGAAACAGCTGATGAGGGAAGCTGGAATCTCCATTAAAAAGGCAGCGCCCCAGAAGCCATCGGGGTCTGAGCGGGCTCTGGCCTATTTAACCAGGTAAGAGCAGTAAAACCTCTGCAGGTGCTCCCTGCAGAGGGAATCTGTAAACCAGTAATCCAGAACAAGCTGCACCAAGTAATAGCACATTAAAGGAAATTGCTGCAGTTTAGTACAGAGTTAATGTTTCATCTCAGTTGACACCCTGGAGGACAGTTGATCACCCCGTTGTATTTCTGTCACAGGAACAACAGAGAGAAGTGAAGTATGGTGCAAACATTTTACAGAAAGGCAGCTCCTGTCCTGAAGATATTATAGTTGCTATATGAATATCATGGGGTTAGCTGCACTTGGAGAGATGAAAGGCAGATTGCAGAAAAGATTGCAGAGAGAAAATGAGTTTTGTTTCTTGAGTGTGCTGTTCCAAGCAAAGGAGTTCCAGTTGTTCTCTTTATATAAGCAAATTCCATGGAATGGTTAAGCATTATGGAGTCTGAATTAAACCACCTGCTTGATGTTTGGATATTTGTAAACTAAGATGGGATTATGCCACTATTTTAAGGTTAAATGTGTACAATGCCTGATTTTTGCATACCAAAGTGTACAGCAAGTATAGTGGCTGATTTCAGATTGGAGGCAATTGCTTTATCTAGTTAGCACACTTATTTAGAAGTCTTAAAATTCCAGCACAAAGCAAAGTCTATGGTTAAACTAAAGAACTACAGGGAAGCATTCAGAGTACCCCACAGACAGTAAGAGGCCATGTATAAACAGGATGATGGTGTTTATTTTTTTCCAAACTGCAGAATACACCCTGTCTGTAGGACCTCCAGAAAGCTGGCATCTTACAAATAGTGGGTTACCATGTGGAGTAATTCTAGGGTTGCATCTCTGGCCGTGCTCAAAACTGAAGCATCCAGACTGTCTGAATTGTTACTTACCACTCACAGTGGGGAGGGAGGAAATTAATTGCATTCCAGGCAGAGGGACATGTGCATTTTTGTTACATAACCCTCAGCACGCAGCGATAGCAAAATGACAATAATATTTTTGATCTGGAAAACAGCTGGAGCAGTTCACCCCTGTTTTGAACTGCAAATGGATTGACAGATAGCTTTGAACCATCTGCTCAGCCTGTACTCTGGTATGTGTGCTCTGGTAAGTGGTGGATCTCCAAATAATGGATTTCAGGTTTGGAAAGCAAAGGAACAAGCTGTGGGTTTTTGCTTGTTATTGCACCGTTATCTGTATGGATTTTTATCTTGTTAGGTGAGAGAACAGAAAATTATATTTGAACTAATATTTGAACCAATTTGATTCTGTAGTTTCACTTAACCTGTACCAAATTACCTTGAAATAGAATACCTGGTCTGTCAATGGTCTTATAATACAGAGTCTATGGACTGTCTGTACAGTAGTAGGTTGTGAGGGATTCTTTCATCAGCAGACAATTTGAATTTTTTGGACTTAACAGGGATAGTCATAAGATGCTGAACTGCCAAGCAAACATAACCAGAGTCACTGTTCTAGCCCCAAATACAGCAGGACCATCTTGCACCATTGTAAGTTATAGAAAAACAGCTTGATCCTTTTACATCTCAGACTTCTTTTCAACCCAGTAAGACTGCAAAAAGAAACAACTGGGTTTAAAGGAATCATAGAGGTAATATATTAGCTGAGGAAGGGGAACAAAAATCCAGTTTCTGGAAGTCCCTTGCAAACCCTCCAGCAACACCAGTGGGTCAAGGATTTCAGTCAATGTGCTTTTGCAGGGCTTCAAGCATGAATAATATGTGTGAGGATAAGTAAATCTTGTAGATGCAAGAGATTAATATAATTGGAAGTAAACAAAAGGGTGCTGTGGATTTGTGTTTTGCTCCACCTACAATAAAAGGCTTACATGACATAAGGGTTGGTAAGTGGAGTGACATCTTAACTCCTTAATGACTTGTAAAGCTCCTGTAGGACAGGTGGAACTTGAAGTACCATGTGATGACTGAAACTGTCATTTTTATTGATTGAGGGACTCTTTGCAGTGTGAGAGCACAGCTGTATGAGGCACGAGGTGACTTTCACAAAGCCGTGCCTCGTGCTGTTAGTTGATGGGAGTTAATGAAGGAGAGCATTGATGAGAGGGATTAAGGAACACAGTGTGCAGGGAGCAGGACTGCTCATCACATCCTGCCCTTCCTGACGCTTTCAGAGCAGCCCTGCAGCAGTGGAGCCAGGTTCCAAGTGATGCAATGCTGGACTCGGGCACGTGGGTGACGTTGGCAGCACCGCCGATGTGTGCTCCTGCTGCTGGGGGTCTGTGCTGCTGGGCACAGTGTGCTACAAGCTGAGCTCTCCAGTTCCTTTCTTTGAGTCTGAAAACAAATGGTCCTTGATGTTTTCCAGTCTCCAGAAGAATCAAATTATAATTTTATTGGAGGGCCATCCTAGCAATTGAGAGAGGCTTTTTTCCCCATGCACGTGGCATGGCCACATGTGACAGCAGCTGATGCCAACTCGCAAGCTGCAGCCCCCACCTACTAAACCTGAGGTGCTGAAGGGTTTCTCCTGTGAGGTGGTGACATTCATAGCCCAGGCTTTTGAGCTGCTTGCCCAGGTAACGAGACCAGGACGAGCATGGCCAGGTTTTGCACTCCCGATGGAGGAGAAGCAGCCAAATGACTTCTGGCTTTTTTTCCTCTCTCGCTTTCTGTTGGCCTGGGAGAAAAGGAATGGGGGAAGAAAAGAAGTCTTTGCTTCAGCAATTTTTGTCTCACCTTTTCCCTCGATGAGATAATCTCAGGTGGTTCCCAAGGCAGTTCTGTCCAAGGAGCAGTCAAAATGTCTGTGGAAACAGAGGAAAGTTACTGCCATCAGACTCCCCAGCTTGGTGAGGGAGCAGACAGGAATAGTAATAGAGCTGAAGATACATAGAGGATTAAAAATAGGGAGCTGAAGCAGAAAGGTTATAAAACTCTGGAAAGGAAAAGAAGAGAATGTGAAATAATGAAAAAACCCAGAGTGGTACTGAGCAGAAGAGAAAAATAACTTGTAAAATTACTGCAGAGGAATAGGGAAAAGCAGGAGTGAGGAAGTGTTAGTGGTTGAATAAACTGCTGAAATCTCTTCCTTTTAATGATGACATGCCTTGTTTCTTTATGATGGCAAGTGATGATTCAGATTTAAAGCCAAGATTAGAATGTCTCATTACTGTGATTCTTGGAAAATCTTGAAAAATTCATCCTTTTCTGAGCATTAAGCGACTTCAAGTGAAAAGATGTTGCAATTCATGAGAATGGTAATTAGATTTAATTATAACCTAACTGACCTTCTGTGGTGTTAAAATGTTGGCAGAACTTGTTTGTCTTGGCAAGCCACTCTCTCGTAGAAGCTGCTGTTCTTGTGTTTGGCTTACAAAGTTCATTGCTGTATGGATCTGCACATATGGTTTTCTCCATCACCCATCAAAGGAGTAGACAGAGATCTGAAAAGATCTCACTGAAAGTATGTGGAATTACAAGATTGATATCATCTGAAGTAGAAGTAATAGATAATATCATTATGGGGATATTGCTGTGAATTATCCAAGCCTTTCAATACTATTTAAAATATTAAAATTTTTAATGTGTTCAAATTTAAAAAATAAAGTGTTGGAGTACATGTTTTTAATGATTTGTATTATAGTAGTAATATATGTCACCAGAATGCTTCCCAAGGCTTTTTGCTTTTCTTTATAGATCTTACTTTCCTCATCTTTGAATTTAAATTTAGGTGAGATCCAGAGATCCCTTTAAAATAAAAAGATGCTTTTAGAATAATACAAACCAAGGGCACGTCACAGAAACATGAAAGTGCGAGGCAGCCAGAATTCCCCGCGGCGTGGGGAAATCTTCTGACTCTGCAGAACCCAAGGTGGTTTTTGCTGAGCGTGGTGGCAGCTCTGCTGACAGCCCTGGACAACCCTGGGCGGCTGTTTATCCGCTGGGTTTGCAGGATGGAAACAGATCCCAGTCCTCTGTCCAACTTTATTAGAAACAGTGCCAAGCATGGGACATTCGAAAGCTGAAACGTTGTTCTTCCTTTAGAAGAATACAGAAGTCTGAGGGGTGTTGCTGGAAGCATTTATTTTGATACTTTGGTGTTTTTAAATATATATCATGTATTATATAGATCCATAAATAGAACTAACACCTAGAAAGTATATCAGGTTTCTACTCCTGCTGGAGCAGAGGCCATGTGAGAAGGGCATTAAGAGGTACCAGAGTTCACATCTAAGGAAGTTTCTGATTTTTCAAGGAACCAAGAGAGGCTTGTCCTGGGCTGTAATGTGGGCAGCAACATTTGAGATTTGTGGCCAAACAGCTGAGATGACAGTGGCCCTTCAGGAAATCACAAACCATTCATCCTACCCCGCTGGGGGCAGGGGACTCCATTGGCAGGACTTCTGTGCAAACACAACCACGCTCATTAATGTTGAAAACCAGCTTCTAATTTTAAGTACTTCAAGTGGGCTTTTGTCAGATTTCGTTTGCTTTGTTGATCCATAACATTTTGAAGGTGTTTTTCTTCTCACAGGTTAAGTACTTTTTTAACCATGGTTAGTGATGTTCAATTTTGAACTTATTTAAGACATTCTTTTTGCTGCTGGCCTAAATCTTTATTAATTTCAAACTTGGCACTGGTGTTGATGTTTTGCCATTAATGACTTAAGCTTTTAGATATTAAGGGTAACTGATGCACTAGAAATCTAAACATACAGTTTTTAGTTCCTCCCTCCAGAGCCCAGCTCCTTGGGTTGGGTAGCAACTAACATTAGCATTTAGTGTCATTTTTCCTTCCTCCACCCTCCAGGTCGGAGATTGAGTTTCCTTCCTGACAGGGAGGTGCAGCATATATGTAAGCTCATCAGTTATCTTGAATTTCATAAAATATTGGAGAACTGCTCAGGTGATGAATCTCAATTAGCCAGTAAAAAAAATAGTATGTAAACTAAGAGAAACTGTTGTAATTAGACATGGCAGCATTCCTGAATTCCCTTCAACAGCTGGGACTTTAAGGTGACTTGAAAG